CTCTTCAGTGTTTCTTCTCACAACAGTGTCATCCCAGGCACAAAAGAAAGAATCGACCCTGGGATTCCCACAGTGAAACTGGGAACACTGCCAGCAGTACTGGAACAGAAAATATTTGAAAAAAAGTTTGCGGGGGTCTGACTTCAGAACAGGCCACTGGTTTTATATCCTACATGGCAGAAGCTGAGTCCTAGGGAGACTGATCGGGGTGCCCGAGGTCTGGTGTGTTTTAAGAAGCGCGCCTGTTGGCTAAGGTGAGGACGGCATGCACTGCCAGAGTCATGAACTTTTTCTTTGCCCCTGCACGCTGTCAGAGAGGTGCTGATCCTGCCAATGAAAAGATCTCCCTGCAATCTGGCATGTGACAATTCTTTGCCTCAGACTGACCTCGGCAAATCATTCCTGAGATTTCCAAACTTGCAGTATGTGCACACAGTACCTTAAAATTGGGGAATTGCTGCATGCTTCACAGGGATACTTGGGGTGCGGGTGAGCTTCTCCCTCACTTTGGCCCATGCCAGAGAGCTTCTGAATTGTCATTAGCCACCGGGAGAGGCTGCTTCTTCTGCCGACTTCCACAATACTAGCTTTCAAACTGGCCTGTGCAGTTCTCGTGGAGCGTATTCTGCTGCCCTCTGGATATTTCAGACCAGTGTAAAGGAAGGTGAAAACTTATTAAGGGTTTTCCAGCACTAAGGAGTGCCACATCTCCAAAGTGAAAATTAACATTGGGCAGCTACTTTGAAATCACCTACGTCTCAAGAGAAATACAAAGAAACTGGAAGTAAAAATAGATATTTACAACTTTCAAAACAGACAACAAAACAACAAATGTTCATAAGGAACATATGTGAAGAAATGAAAAAAAAAAAAAAGCTTAATCAACTCTAAAAGGTTGGCTGGGGCTATCCCTTGTCCGGCAATGTCAGGAACTCTCCCATCCTTCATGAGGATACGTTCGTGTGGGAGAGCCACTTCCTGGTAGGGATGGTACCAATCACTCACTTCCCTGGACTTCCCTTCGCTTTTAATTTCTCTCCACAAAACGTCTTCACTTCCAACCTATATCACAAGGCATTTTGATATGCCTTCTACTAGCCTGTGAACAACGCTGTTCTGGAGGTGCTAAGGTCATTAGCGAGGTGCCATTTCCTGTTACCAACGCTGATGCAGGGTATAAAGTCAGGTTTCCCCATCTGGTGGTGGGATGCACAGTAATGGAAGTGGAAGCAACCACTTATTTTAGCGCAACAGTTAAAGACTTCCCCCTCTCATGCCTACCCAGTACTAGTTGCCACCACTTCTGCAAGAATCGCTTAAGCAAGCCTCTCCCATTATACAATCCTGTACAGGTCCTTGCATTGGGTATGTAAATTATCTGGGTCCTCTGAAACTCATGTATATATACAACTTGAGAAATTTACTTGATACAAGTATATAAATGGAATTAAAGTACATGCTACCTATTGGCTTTTTCACTGAGACCAGAGAGGATAATAATCCACCATTCTGCAACAATAACATGTAGAAGAAACCAATCTCCCAAGTCTATCTTTAAGGGATTTTATAGGAACTGTCTGTATGGAAGGGACCTCTGGGTTCATCCACAAGACAAGCTTGTATATAAAGCACAATGAAATATTTCTATCAAAAGAAAATGGTTCAGCCCTTAGAGCTTTTGAATATTTTTCATGTGTAGAAGATACCACAACACAAGATCCATTTTGCTATCTCTTTGAGGTCCAGAGATTCCCTCACCTCTGAGAGGTGTACACAGTTGTAAACCCGTGCTTTCTAATAAACAAGACTGGAGAGCACATTCGTAGCTGTTTCCCACTGAGAAAAGTATGTGTTTCCTGCATGGGAGCGTCCACCTTGACAGAAACCAAGCAATATTTCTACCACTGCTACCTTTCACACCCACCGAGCTGTTAGTGAAACGTGCTCCCACCGCAGAGAAGTGCTGCCCTGACCCTTGGGTGCCCATAGTAACTCTAACTCCTCAACTAAGTTCCCTGAATGTTGGGGTCTGCTCAGAAATCTAAAGGTAGAAAATATCTCGGAGTAAAAAGCATGAGGAAAAGTGATGAGAGAATAATTCAAAACTAAATGTGGGCGACCAGGCATGACTAATCCACCGTAACAGCATATCATTTGCAGGACATAAGAGCCACATATTGACATCACATATGGGGTGTCTGAAGAAACCACACTTAATAAATAGCAACATTTGCTGAAATGACCAGAATTGTTACCGTAAGACAGTGGAAATTTCCTCAGGCTGTTACTGAGCCATATATAAAAGAACAAGACAGTGGACCAGTTGGGAAAGGGTAAAATGGAGTAAAGAAGGAGAGAAAGGTGAGTCTGGAGAAAAACTAACAGCAGTTTAGGGCCAGGGCTTGAATGGATTTAGAGACTGAATTATCCCTGTTTCTTAAAAAATGATCCCTTCAGGTTCTGCTTCAAGAACATAGGCTGGGCAGTATTTCAGTTTGGGCTTTGCTGGCAGAAGACTTTGATGTCCAGAGCGTCAATTCAACGCTTTTCAGAAGGCATTGCTATCATTAGAAAAAAATTGCAAAAGGAAAAAAAAAAACATTAAAAACCCTCACACGCAAGAGTGACAGAAAAGCCTAGCTAAAGATATACTTCACAAAACCATTTAGAGGAACCAAGATTGAGGTCAGGGGAGTTATTCCGCACTTCTACCATCACAGCTGTGATAGGAGTTCAGCCTTCAGTCCTCTGAGAGTTTAAACACTATCTCGTTTCAAAGGGAAATCACTGAAACTCAAGCTGTAGAGTTTTGTATCGTAAGGCAGATAAAAAGGCCAAACAAAACAAACGTCAAGATAGTTCTTCAGAGTCAGCAGAACCTCCATTGTAGTCCTCCTTTATTAATTCAAGCTTATTCTAACCCCTTCTTCTTCAATCTTCTTATTTTTCTAGACAAGAATGCTTTTAACCAGATGCAAACCAGAACCTTTCAGTCTTAGCTGCATTTCAGTTCCAGCTGAGGCCACCAGCAATCACTATTTGATGGCCTTGAACTGGAAACATGGAAATATAAAACACTTAAAAATGGAAAGATCATGTGATTAGGTGTCTCTGTAACCTCTCTTCAGCTCAGACACCAGACGTCGTCTTAGCCTGGCGTTTCCATTTCTCTCCATAACCTTCGTGGAACTGAAAGGCGAGAAACTGTGGTTCCACACCATCTCAGCTGTGCCCAGTAGACACGTGCCTGTATGCAGACAGGACAGCGATGTAAAAGCACACGCATGCAGAGGTGCGAGAATACACTAGTATAATCCTAGAGCCATATGCAGGGATACACGATGGGCTTGCTAGCGGGAATACTCAGGCTGAAGAGGGCTGGCAAGCTTTACAGGCATTGCTGACAGTAGCAGTCCACAGGTCCCCACCACAGCATCAGAGCCACCTCCTCCTGCTAGGAGTGATACCGATTAAGCTCACCTCAGGCAAGCGTGAAAAACCCTCTCCACCAAATAGATCCCTGCCAGCCACTGTAGAGCAGCACAACATCTTGGTGCACATGCAAGACCATGTGCTACGCGTGCTGGTGAGTCATCGGGTGAGAGAGACGGGGACAGAGAGAGGAAGACGCTGCAACAGAGCAGCTTTGCAGGAGCTGCGAGGTGCCAGCAGTCCCCTGCTCAACAGACCTACTAGAAAACACCGGTCTTTCGCTGATCTGAGGGGACTCGCACTATAATTCTTGGTAGGATTCAACGGAAACTTACAAGTAATGGTTCAGTGTCAGTCAGAGGATGAAGACATGCAAACTGCTTTGCAGATCATGTTTGGGTTTGTTCCGTTCGCTGGTGATGATCTTGATTCCACTTGAACAGTAAAATTTCCCTGTGAAGGCTTCAATAGCATTAAAGAGCTCCTGGGTTCCTAATTTGGTCTCACACTGGATGCCTAAGATCAGACAGCGTGAGACCAAAACACAGAGTCTCAGCTCTCATCTTCAAATCCAAGCGAGACATTTAGCACTCCGGGGGACATTTATACACATGGAAACTACGGCGGAGTAAACACGTGTGTGTTCACAAAGAACTGGCTACTTCAGTGGCGTTCCTTTATGGGCTCTCTTTATAAGGGTAAAAGTGTCTTCACGGGGAACGAATGCAGGACAGGTAGCAGATTATAATTTCACTCCCTAATTTACTGTGTACTGATCTCCTTTCATAAACAGTCCTTCTTGCTGCATAAAAATACGCACCGCGTTAAACCACGTTTTTAAACAAGTGGTTAAGTCAAAGCAAGCACTATATCCTTCTACGGCGTCTTAGATTAAGCACCCAAAAGTATTCTCTAAAAAAGCATAGGTGTAGTATACATGAGCTTTACTAATATGTTCCATTCAATTGTTATTATGAAAACGGAAATGAACAACACCAAAAACATTTTTCTTTTCACATTTCCCATATTGCTCTTCATTCTCAAAAGTGACTTTGTCAAACTAATCTTTGCCACCCACACACATCCACTTTGAAAAAAAAGAAAAAGCAACAGCTCAGATTTAAGCTGTCGGTCTCACTTCTGTTATTTGTGGTGACTTTTTTTTTTATTTTTGGACTGTGGCTTTTAAATCTGAGACTAAAAATAGCAGCCACCCCCAGCATACTGTTTGCGTAGGGGGAATGTTTTGTACACAAAACCATCTCTGTCCCTTTTTCTGCCTCAGTCACCCAGCCTATATGTCTCCTCCTCAGAGATGATTTTCTGTGAAAGTTAGTGAGACGTATAAAGCAGAAGCCCAGTTCTTCATTAGTCGTACTAGTAAGAGGAAGTTCAGTCAAGCATGTTAACTTTTGACTACTTGTTTCAGGTTGCAAATAATAGGACAGAACTTCACGACACTTAGATCCAGTCCTGGAAATAGGTAGGCACGTGAACAATTTACTCATTTCAGTATTATCTAAATCGATGGAATCATACATACAGAAATATAAGAATGGCCTTACCAGATCCTATCAATTGTCCACCAAGCTTGGTGTTCTTTCCTCCAGCAGTGCTCAGGAAATACTTCTGAGGAAGGTGCAACAAACCTTCAGATGGAAAATTAAAAAATAACTTGTGCGTAAGAAAGATTTCCACTGCTAGAGACTTCTTTCATGCCCTGAAGTATTTGAGCGTCTGAAAAAAAAAAAAAAACCTATCCATCTTAAAAAAAAAATGTCCTGCCTAATATCGCTGCATTTGTTCTCAGCATTTTGGATTTTGAACACTTTGATTCCTGCTCCACCTGGCTCTCAGTGATATCTTATGGCAGGTACAAGCATATGTAATTAAGAGCACATAATTATACTTTAGTGCGTCATCTGCTCTGCGCTCTTTGCCCGTGCACAGTATGCTCATGACTCTAATCCTTTCCATCGTCTGTTTCTGTAACGCTCCTTATATTTTGTATGCTCTAGAAATTAGTAAAACTACAGAGAGCGTTCTGGGTGAAGCCACTGCCTTGACTGTGGCTCTACATTTCCTAGCCTTTATACATTCAAGAGTTTAGTTAATTTTTCTGGCTGCTGCTTCACACTGAGGTAACATTTTCCATATTCAATCTAAGGTTACATCTGGGTGTAATTAGTAAGTGGTGACAATGACTACAGCAACTAATGGGATAAATGAGTAGTTTAAATTATTTCTTCCCCTGCAAAACCCAGAGGATTCCTTTGACTGTCATGTAGGCCATTCATCTCAATTAGCTGGGGTCCTCTGCAGTTCTCCCCAGCACTCTGAATGCCGTCTAACCTAAACTACATATTTTTGCCATTTTAGCCAATGTTTCTTTTCCTAAACAGCTGCAAGAGAGAAAGCTGAAGTTCCTCATCAATCTGACTGAGCTGTGCTTAGTGCAATATTACATTAGAGGGAGGCACAAGCAGGGCCTTTTTGCACTCCTTTATCATCTCCCAGCAGGCTTGTGTCCTTGCAGCTATTCTGAATGTAGCGCACCTGCAACGTAAGGATGTGCTGCTGCGCCCTGTACCCACTGGGAAAGCATCTCCCACTGGCAACTGCGAGGCGCTAGCTAAGCACCTCAGAAATGGTTTTGTCCCATTCCATGAAAGAAGTATCCCACGGGAAACTTCTCTGATCCACCAGAGTTCATGTGAGGGTCTATTTCAGAAACTGCTCGTGGCTTTTAGTCTGAAACCGTTCACTGATAGTCGGGAAAAAAAAAGCTGTTTTTCTTAGAATCTTCAGTTGGGTGTGAAATGTGGCCGAGGGGAAGTTCACAGCAGGACGACAAGGACCGAGTTCTTGGGGAAAAGCAATGTTTCGCTGTCATACTGAAAGGCTCTCTTTTCCCTTCATTTTCTCTCTTCTAAAAAAACCCAGAAAACTCTGCCACTATTTTTCACTTTGTCACAGGACAAAGAGTTTGCATTTTCTTTTTAACCTACCCCAGTTCTCTGCAGCATCCTGCAGGCCTTTCTTTGACGCCCAAGCAATCTGACTTGCTGTGAACATCACTGCTAGTTAGGAAGAATGAGAGAGCTGGACTTCAAATATCTGGTCAAGCTGGAACCATGTCTGTTATTGGTGAAGGACATGGATTAGCAGAAGGAATAAACCTGGCACATACCACTCTTGAGAAAAATGATGCAACTGTCCTAATCGCCTAATGAAAACTCATATTGTCAGCTCAGAGTAAGTGCTTGTGGTTACATTTTGAAAAACAGTATCTGAACTGTATCTCAAGATACAAAAAAATAAACACTGTACGTGCACATTAAGCAGCACTTTTGTAGCAGTTGAAATAGGACCCACTCCTTGTTTCTAAACCTGTTTGTTTTGACTTTTTCAGATTAAAGACGTACAACCAGAGTTTCACCAGCTGCAGTTATTACATACAGGTCATAATGGGAGATTCCTGCTATCTGGATATTCTAGGTAATAGCTAAACCTGGTGCAGTTCTCCCTGAGCTTCCTAGCTGTGCTCACGTTCCCTGACGTTCAGGGAGAGCTCAGTTCCTCAGCAACGATACTGTACAAGTATAAATAGATTGATTTATATAGCTGGGCCTTGAAGTAGCCTTACTGAATGTAACTGCTGCATGTGAATTCATGAAATCTGTTATAACCGTGCTGGCTCTGTATAATTCTTATTTTAAGACCCTGCTTTCAATTCAGCCTCACAGCTACATTTAGGAGTTGGGCTAGCAAGACTTACAGCCATGATAAAACTAAGGTTTAAGGTTCAGGTTGACAAGGGCCATGATGCAGGGTTAAGGGTAGATGTAGAAGAGGTTACTAAGGTGCTGTTAGGGCTTGTACCAGTGCCGACATCCCTGTCTAATTTGAGGTCTTCCTCTTGCGGGAGTTTGGATTAAATCTAAGATTACTGTCGGGATAAAGTTCAGGTCAGCAGGGGCTGATGAAGAAAGATCAGTACTGAGAAGGAACCTTTACCACATTTAGGCCTGGCACCACAAAGAGCCTGAATCCAGTGCAAATCCTTCCTTAATTTTAACACAGTGAGCACTTCTGGCCTGATCAAAACCAAAAAGGCCACATCCATGTTCAGATGTGACAACCCTTGACAGATCCAGAAGTAAATATAACTCATTGACTCTTGCTTGTACCCCGTCCATTACCTAAAACTTAAATCCAACTCTCATACAGCAGACCTTGCCACCCCCAGCCATTCCCTGACTCAAACCTTGTTCATGCTGTCTGTGTGCCAAATTTAATTCTAGGACAGGTTTTTGGGCCATCCCTGAATCACAACCACCCTAGTGATCCAAAACCCAACCTACTGTTAGTCCTAGCCTCAATCTTAGTGCTTGCTTCCACTCCCAGATCCCAGTATTATGTAGAGTTGGTATAACAGACTTTGCATTGTGTCTGAAAGAGGCTGATGAGCCAATTTAGGGTTGGTATTAGAATTACAGCTTTGGGCAGCAGAGACCAATGACTCAAGTTAGTGGCTTAAGTCTGGCATGAACATAGGCTGCATCACTAATTTCAGACCTGGGGCTGGCAAAGGTCATTAGAGTCTAACAGGCAGGAGCATCTATAACCTCTGGTGTAGCCTCTCTTCCAAAACCAGGAGATGAGCTCAGAAATCATGACTCTATATGTTTCTGGTCATGAATATTAAAGAAATCTTCTGTGGTATTTAGTACACACACATATAAACAAACTTCATGATGAGATAATCCAGAAATAAGTAAAATCCAAGTGATAGAATTCCTTCTGTTCTCTTTAATAATTAGGAAATTGTTTTTTAAAATGATATTAAAAGAAAAATGCAAAGGTTAAAGTCAAGAACTCAAAATCCGGGAAACCCTGATGAATCTTAATTCAATGCCTCCTGCAAGTACATGACAATTCAGCCCTTACTTGCATGACAACATAGTATTCGTGCTTGTCTTATTGAATGTATAGGATTGATACTCCTTCTCAGTAAAACAGGGAACGTACGAGGGCTGTGCAGTTAACAACAGTATCAACAGTAGGTTCCCTACTGAGGTGCTGGAAAAAAAATTAAAATTTCTAGTGAACGGGGAAAATAATTCCAAAAAAGAGTAATAAAAGCATCCTGCTTCAACAAAATGAAGATTTTGAACATGTGAAGCACTGGGCCAACTTATCTTAAAAAAAGAAAAAAAAAGTCTCAAGTCACTAATCCAAAATGATGGTCACTTTATTCTTAATTTCTCCAGAATAATTTCATGCCTGTAGGATAAAGATAACAATGCTACCTGCAATCACAAGAGTGTTTTGAAAATAATTCATTTTTAATTGGTGAATTCAGATTAATTCAGCTATCATGGTGACAGAACCCCAGAAGCGCCTGCAAAGCAACGCAGCATTCCGTAGCTGGGGAAGGACAGCGGCGGGCATATTAAAAAAAACCCCACCTTTGACAAAGGAACACACAAAGAAATACTGACTAAAGACATACTCTTAGCTTACTGGGAAAAAGAGCGCAGCAGCACAGAATTTAAGAATTTGTGGGTGCCTTTGTGTGGGGATTCTGATATTTCCAAAATAATAAAAAAAAGCTTCCAAAAAATTTCAGGTCATCTTCATAATAATCAAGCAAACAAAAAGGACATAACACTGCTCCAGGATACGTTTTAAGAACACCAAAAAAAAAAAAAAAATCTAGATGTCAAAGTTAGCATCCAGTCACTCAAGCTCAACCAGAAAAAATTCAAAAATAAAAATAATGCTAATAAAAATAATTCAAAGGTAAAAATAAACTATCAGTGTGTTCAAAATAAGACATGCTTATTTTCTGTGCTGAATTTGGACCTGACTGAGGAGCCAACGGAAATAACAGAAACTATTACACATTTCTACACCGTAGTGACATCAGCAGATGAGCGGATGAAACGCTTCAGCACCCAGCGCTTGTGAGCTTAGTTTGGCTCACTTACCTAGCTGTTCCAAGTCAATAAACTCCTGAAATCACAAGGACTTTTGGTCACGATCCTTTTCAAAGGCATTTTCTTCACAAAACGACCAAATAGGTACTTTTGTCACTCATATGAATATGTTTCATCAGTAGTATATTTGAGTACAAGACCAGAAGTTATAATGTCTCATTTAAATAAGATTTAACCTCCCTCTTTCAGGATGAGGGCAATAATACACTTGTGCCTACTCTCAAAAGTGGCTGTTATATAATGACTAATTAATGCATGCCCTGTAATTCTCCTAAGACCAAGAGGATTGCTTAATAACACTGAATTCCCAAGGAGTCTATAACTGTGATTTCCTCAGTCAGGCTTCCATTAAATAATAACAAAAAGCTACAAAATATGTCAAATAGTAAACCACAGTTTAAGGAAGAAACATATCTGCAAATCATAGCCTCTAAGTATGGACAACAGCTACGAAAAATGTAGGGAATGATGGCTTTACAGTTGGGCTCATAAATGGAAACAGCTGGCAGAGTAGTAAGAATTTTTACTTTCCGTTTATTATAAAGCAAAACAAATCAATAGTCCCATAAATATTAAATACACCAGTGAGAGCAGACACATTTTATATGCTCAGTCACTGTGGCATAAAGTGTTTTAGCCATAGATAGCTTCTTCATCAGTTCAATCAGAAAATGCTCTTGCCATTCTGACATGTCGGGTCATTGTCAGGCAAAGAGCAATGGAAATTTAGAGTAGGGATAATTTGTTAAATGTTCTTCTGTTCTGAAGTAAGAGTATCATCCTACCTAATGTAGGGATTTGGTTGCCGACTCAGAAAACTAAATAATTTTCAGCAGCAACTCCACCTCAATAGGCTCAAGCTTGGCCCCAACACTGAGCAGTGGCACAAAGCATGAGATTGTTGACTTCTGTTTCAGAAGACACTGAAATTTAAATTGGAAAATCAAAATTAATGACAGACAAATCCTGTAATTCTTTATTTGTATAGTGCCAAAGAGCCTCATCTATAAATCCAAACCTTTTTATTCTAGATGATGTACAATCAAAAATAACAGTTCCTGTGTCAGAGTGTGGTAGATAAGTGCGAAATGAAACACAGCAGAAGGATAAAGAGAAGAAATATGAGAAAAATAATAAGGTAATTGGTGCAACAGCATGTCATGCCAGCATATCGACCCTGGTCTGCTTCTTGGGGGGGGGGGGGAGGCAGCACAGAAAAGGAATTTTAATGACACATTAGCAAGAAAGTTTTGATATATCTTTGTAAGCAATTATAAGATGCATAAGGAGTAGCCTAGACAAACTGAAAAAATCTAATGAGTAGGCAATGGAGGCTTCACAGGTCCGTTGAAAGCAATGTCACTTATACATTTTTTCCTGCCTTTAACCTGTTATGTGACTTCAGACAAAGCACACGGGTTGAGATTTCCAGAAATATCATCAGTGACTCAGTTTTTTTTAGATGTCTAGCTTGAGACCATGTGGAAGGACTTCATTTTCAGAAAGCATACATATCACCTGTTTTGGAAAATCAAGCCTCTTTAAGTGGCTTACCTTGAACATCAACAAATTCAGCTACTCCTGAAAAAAACCTCAAGTCACTGCTCCTATTCTTGGCCTACATAACTCCTCAGTATTCTTATCCTTAAAAAGGAAATGAAAATGCTTACCTGAATAGGCTGTTTTACTGCAATGGTTATGGAATGCATGTGTAAAACAATGGAAGAAAAGCTACCAAAAAGTGAAAGATTATGAATGTATATTAACCAGTGGTTGGAAAAGACTGGTACATGTCTTCAAAGAGTTATACTAGAAAAGGTGATTAATACGGTTAGACTATCCCATACATATACTATGTTACTATAACCCCTAGTCCAAATGATAAGGCAAACGCTAGCTGGAATATTAGGGACAAAGGAAAGAACCTAGAGATTACATGTTGTAAACTCACTAGTTATACTTAGGATTGCAAATCGATTTATCCCACAAAGTAAAACACACATTATTTCCTGGGGATTCAAAAAGAATAGAACTGCCATTCTTCAATAATGTCAGGAGACCAATATAAGTGAGAGAAGATTCAGGTTTTATAGATCACTTTGCCCTGAAGAGCCAGTGCCATATGAATATCAAAGAAACTTGTTTTCTGCACTGTTTTTCTATCCTGCTTTTCAACTGAATGCTAGAGAAGATTGCTGCATATTAGTTATGTTTCTCATATGACTAATAAGGCACTAATTATGCAGATTTACAGCATTACCAAAGCAATCACAGCTAAATTATAAGCAAAGTTTATTAATGACTGTGACTCAGAACTACTCCACCATCTCCTCTGCTGTTAGAGCAACTTAGGAAGTCCAGCAAGCCAGTGCCCTGTAATGAGTCTATGAACTGATAAATCTGCAGACCTGAAAAGTGCCTCTGCCACCATGTCCACGTGGTATATGAGACTGAGTCCTCAATCCACAACTGAGACCACTGGCTTAGGAAGGACCTACCATCTCAAAAAACTGAATGGATAATATGTAGCATAGCATCTCCCACAGTGCTGAAGAATCACATTATATATTTAAAAAGAAAAAAAGGGGAGAGGGAGAGAGAGAGAGAGAGAGAGAGGACTACTAGCCTATAGGTCCTTCGTGCTGCTTTTGCAGGTCATTGCGATGTGGCTCAGTCCCTTGCATTACAAGAACAGATAACTCTTGGCGCTGGAAGAACTGTACAAATCTGTTGAACTCCACAGGGCCTGCAAAACATGTATTTTCATTTCAATAAATACTTGCACTTCAACAGCAGTCAAGCACAGACTCTAATCTTTTTATAAGCATCAGATAATTCATTCTCACTATACTCCATGGATCTAGGAAAAGATTGGTACCAATGGGCACAAAGAGCGAAAAAGAGAGTTAACTGCACTCTATGAACTTGTTACTCTTCTATCTCAAGAATTTTCTAGGTTTGCACTTGAGATGTCATTTACTTTAATTACTCTGTATAGAAGGAGATGATGTACCAAATAGCTGACTGACTCACTTACAGCTACAATGATTCAGTAAAAGATCAACCTTGTTCCATATGCAGGCAGTGTAAAGGCTTCATTCTACCATTAATGAAATCAACATCAAAAGTCCCATGGACTTCAAAGAGAGACGGGGGAGGCTTTTACTCTAGAACGTTTAGCAATAAGGCATGAGATATCCAGACAACTGCTCAGCTGCCCAAAGGCAACTCTGCTGTAGTCAGTAACAATACAGACTTTACTTACAATGTAATTGCACTGTATGTTTATGGTTGTTGACATTTTGGTAACAGAGCTATATGCAGAGGAACATAATAGGAGGTCCAGAAGGTCCTGGAATTTGGCAGGAGTTATAGAATGCCAAAGCAATTCACAAATACATCCACTGACTTTTTTCCATGAAGTAGCCCATTTAAATGAGCTTGTAAAGAAAATTGCATAACATCATTAACTTTTTTCTTCAGCTACTTTTACCTCCTTCTGCTGCTTGCTTAACATACCGCATGAATCTGTGTGCAGATATTACTTCCATCCCTCCAGCTGAGGCAGGGATCCTCCGGCAATTGCATCACCACCTCTTGGAACTATTGCTTAGTTCTCAGTGCTGTAAAACGGGGACTTGCCGCTCCTCTCAAGAAGTTAGGAAGCACTTACAAGGAAATAAAAGATTAGGGTAGCCCTTTTTTCTGTCCTGTCATTAGAACAGCTGTGATTAGTGAAAGTTTCCGTGAACGTGATTAACCTACTGAAAAGCCGCTCAACTCGCCTGAAACGTATTTCTCGAGGCAATTGCACCACCTGCAGACTGCCATCTAAACCAGCACCAGAGCAGTTCCTAGTGCCCTGCCCGTCCTAGCCATGCTGGCTACTGCAGGAAGTGAGCAGTACTGGAAGCACAGTGCCACGGGTTCAGTTAGAGCTCTTCATTCTAGTTTGCAATTGCCACCAACGGTTGTGCAGGAAAAAAGCGGCTAAGAACAGCTTCTTGGTTGCACTTATAAGCCAGAATTGTCACTTCTGCTCACAAGAGCACTCTGACTCCTGCACAACCCTAGGCGCTCTCCCATTCTTAGAAAGTCTTAGAAACCATTTCTCCCCCTTTCTCCACCACCTCCATGCCAGATAAGCACTCCTCACTTCCATCCTCCCTTGGATGCTCTCTTCCCTATCTGCTTCCTCTTCTCCCTCAGCTATTTCCCAGCCTAAACCAGGTTCCTCCATCTGATTCATCCTGTTTTGGACTCTACTTCCTTCCCTTTCCAACCGCCCAGCTCAGTCCAGTACTGCTCAACTAGACTTGGGGGGGGAGGGGGGGGCAAGGAAGGAAGGCAGCAAAGGGGTATGAGCACACTACCCAATGCACTCTACTCACCCTGTTGCTTTCTTGTGCTCTATAGGGTACTTTTCAAAGTTCCCAAGTAGGTGAGAGCACAGTACTCAGAAAAACTACCATTTACCAATTTAATCAATTGAAAACTGATTGTTTGCTGAACTGATAAATAGAAAATTGATTACTGATTAACACCTGTAGACTGTTGACTGATAATTATGCCAGAGATTAAATACTCTTAGCTCATCAGCTGGGTATGCCTATGCTCAGGAGGTAGGCTTCTGATGTGTGTGGGGGGGGGGGGGGGGGGAGCTGCTTTTTTTCCCTTCCAGTTTGGGAGAGAACATCAAGGTTTGCTCTACCCAGCCAGCTCCAGTATTTCCAACCTATCTTTGTTTCCAGATTTTCTTCATCTTCACTGTTTTCAAGGAATGCAAATACTAGTCTCTTTCTTTTTGAAAATGTATGTGTAATAATCTTTACTGCAATTAGCAGTATGTGTATGTATGAGTATCTCAGAGGGTCAAGATAAGGAGAACAAGTGAACCTGAGAAAGATTTTTCTCCTCTCCTTTTTTAAGGAGATCAGTCTTCAACGTTTTCTGATGTAGGGAGTCAAGCTGTTACAAAATCAATGTATTGTCTTCTCTTTTACACCCCAGTTGCTGTCCTTCTGCTCCTATCTGCTTCTGACCCCAACCTGAATGACACGGTTGGCCTTAGATCCCACCATCTTTCTCTAGCCTCTCCAGTCCACGGCTGCTTCTTCCTTCAGACTTGTGTCATGATGATACATGAAGAACTGACGAACTGAATGACTCTCTTCTCGGTTCCCAATTGCTCCTAACAAGTATCCACGCTGTTAACTTCAAAGAAGAGCTTATATAAAAGCTCTGGAAAGAAAAAGACGTGGTCTGACTGCTTCTACTAGATTGCCTTACCATTAAAGAAAAAAAAAAAAAGAGCTGAAACAGTCACTAGCATCAGGACCTGTTGCCTGGGAAATCATTAGCAGTTACCAGAAGAAAGGAATTCCTTGGAAGTAATAATTTTAGAAGCCAGAGGGAAGTTGCACAACTGTCCATGGTGAGGGCGGTAGTTCTCGTAACATAGCAATAGGCTAGAGACATGACCTGAGTAATAGTATCTAATGAAGATGTGTCTGTGGTATGAACAAATCTGAAATCCTTGTTACTACAGCATGCGGCAAACAGTCAAGCCCTTTGGGTGTTGCAGACAGCCAAACTGCACGATTACTAGGAATGTTACTGGAGCATTTTTTTCTTTTCAGAGTGCTTAAAAGTCCTTGAAAAGGCTTAAGAGCCCTACGAAGTGGGTAAATATTATTTTCTTTACTTGGCAAACCAGGAAAATGAGATATGGAGAACTTAACTGACATACTCAAAATTCCACAGCACATCAGTCTCAGAGCCAAGATTATAATTAAGAGATCACAACTCCTACCTTCAGAGTCAAGCTGCTGAATGACTTTACCTTTATATTTTATGCAAATTGGATTATTTCTGAAGAAAGTTCAAAATGAGTTTTGACTCCTGAATTATCCTTCTGGTTCTGCCACTGTTCTATTGAACAAAACACAACAGGATATGTAAATTAAGCCATACCTTTTCACGTGTAGCAAACTTTATGCAGTTAATGTTTGTGAAGCTTTCTGAGCTCCTACGATGAAAAATATTTAACAGGAAACATCATTGTTATTATACATATTTATCCATTTATCTAGAAGTATACATGTCAAGAATTGAGAAGTTTACTCAGGAGTGACTAAAGCAGAAGGAAGTGGGCAAGGGACTTTACAGAGTTTCTTACTCTAATGACATATGGTAAGTTTGGGAGTTGTATTTCTGGCTTTGTCTGGGAACATGTCACATCCCACTCCCTACATCTATTGCACTATAAGATCTGAAGCAACAGAAATTAACATGCTGCTCTAGAAGAGGCAAGAGTTTTGGTTACTATATACAGTGGGACAGATTATTCTCATTTATGCTGCTCTAAAATCAGATACACCTCTAACCAGATAATGATATGGCATTTCCTTTTTGTTCTACATGAAGAATATAATATTTGGATTGCTCTAGTACATGACTGTCTCCTGTAAGACACTGACTAAAATATTCCACTTTGTTCTCTCATCTCCATTAAAAGAATGAAATGGATTTTGAACCAACATATTCAGGACAGCAAAGAGGTAAATTGCTGTCAGGTGATTATAATTCTGGATGCATGATTCAAGAGAACAACAGCTTCCTGACAGGCAGATAGAAGTTTTGTACTATCCTTTTTTTTTTGATCTACCATGTACCTGATCAGGTTCATAAAGCCTATCAGCACCTGTATGTGATAGCTTCTGATGCGGTGAAAAACGTACAGCACATACTTTTTATGGTCTAGAGCTCCAGTGCATTCATGCATGCAGGGTTCATGAATCCTGTGACCTGAGGCTGTCTAAAGAAACTCCAGGCTCCAAGAGCTTACGCTACTGGATCGGGTCTGTGAAAGAAAAAGCATCTTTCAAGCAGACTCAGGATGGATCTTGCTACCATCAGAGGTAATGTAAAACTTGCTATGATATATGTGCCAGCACAAGCACAGCATGTCTTGGGGAAATCTGACATGTGGAGTCACGTTAGCAGATGCTGACATGTGGCCCAGGATTTTACAATATTAGTAAATGATTACTGTGCAGGTAAGCCTTGGCCAACACTGGGCTCATGTATGCTAGTGTACATGAGAACTAGGGCAGTATGGTACTTCTGTGCATGCACAGTCAAAGACATGCAGAATGACATGTAAGGAACTAAACTTGGAGCGATTATTTATCAGCAGCTAATGACCAAGACAAGGGTAAAGAGCCACTGGGTCCTAAGAAGCAACTGCAACTGCAACTATAGTGGTGATGACTCCTGCATCCACAGACAGTCAGGGTGGAAAGACTCTGTTCTGATGATTGTGACTCATGAGGAACTGAAAATTTTTTGCTGTGAGTTAGCTTAATAACAACATAGAAATAAGTCGTCAGATTGAGATAGGCAATAAAGAGATCCTTGCTCTTAAATTCCAGGCCTCTGACTGTGACCTCTGACTGTCTCATGGAGACATTCAAAGCACTGCAGATAAAGGATTCTTCTTAGCAGCATAAAACATGAAACATCTTTTCGCCAGGTTTTCTCCACTCTAGGTAATTTGTAATGAAACGGAGAACCAGGGGCCCACCAATATTAGTGGGCAGATGGAGCTCTTCCAGAAGTGCTGCTAGAAAAGAAGTAAAAATGCAGTTGCATTTCCCCTTGCTCTTGGACAAAAGACATAACTGGCTTTTGAAGTGGCATATGTATAGGCATGGGACAGAAACTTGTGTTCCGTGCCCTGCCATTGCCAAAAATTTGACTCTAAGCGGCAGCAGACCTGCCTCATTTAGCAGGTCATCAGTATCATTCATCATTCTAGTATCCTAGCAGGTCATCGCTCTTCAGCAACAATGATATAGAGTTATAAGTAACTGAGTATCTTTCTTATGCCGAGGGTTTCACTGCCAAGAAGTGTAGTCTTTATCCATTGAAGGCGATGGATTATGCTCCTCCCCTGGACAGAACAGATCATAGCTGTATCCATCTAAGGGGAGAACAAAATCTCTACTTTGTTGTTACACGGGCCTTAAAGTCAGAAGCTAGGGATGCCACAGGAAAACCCAGTGAAAATAAGCCTAGTCTATTATCATAAAAAATAAAAGCTACAAATAAAGAGAATGAAAAACAAAAACTGAAAATAAGCAAAGAAAAAACCAAAAGGACTACAATAATCTCACCGCAGATAAGCAGTGAGCAGAAGTGGAACTCAGACTGCAGAGTGTTCTCCACACCTCATGTACTTACTACCAGGTAGGATGGCGCATGGGCATACGCTGCACATGCACTACAGTTAGAGCTAAAGTTTCCTTCTAGAATGACTGTATGCACACATAGCCACACTGTGAATATGCATACAGAGTGGCTCAAAAGAGAATATGCTATACTGGTATAAATTTTTTCATGGTAGTTAGGATTGCACAACGTTAACACTAGTGCAGTCCAAATAGAACAATGATTTAAACCTAGTCAAAATTAAAACTTTTTTTATCAGCACAGCAAAATAGGTTAGGAATTGTGACTCATACTGACGCAGCTATCAGTATAAGCCCTAAAGCAGACACATGCATAGCGGTGTAGAGGTATTGCAGTGCCATAATTTATTTGAGAAATTCAAAAAACATTTTATCAGCAAAAGCAT